CAGAGCAGGGAGCCCGATGCGGGGCTCGATCCCAGGACCCTGGGATCATGACCTGAGCCGAAGGCAGACGCTTAACGACTGAGCCACCCAGGCGCCCCTCTTTTAACATTCTTGCAAGGCAGTACTGCTGGCCACAAATTCCCTCAATATTTATTCATCTGAGAAAGTCTTTTTTCCTCTCACTTTTGAAGGCTATTTTGACAGTACAGAATTCTAGGTTGGTGGTTTCTTTCTGTCACCATTTTAAATATTTCACTCCACTTCTCTTGCTTGCATGGTCTCTAATAATTTGGATGCAATTCATTGTTCCTCTGTAGGTGAGGTCCTTTTTCCCCTATGCCGTCATTCAAGAATTTTTCTTTATCTTTAATTTTCTGCAATTTGAAAAAGACATGCCTAGGTATAGGTTTCTTAGCATTTTTCCTGCTTGGTGTTCTCTGAGCATCTTGAATCATGATTTGTTGTCTGACATTAATTTGGGAAATTCTCATTCATTATTGCTTCAAATGTTTCTTCTTTCATTTCTCTTTTTTTTATCCTGGCATTCTCATAACACATTTGTTACTTCTTCTGTAGTTGTCCCACAGTCTTTGGAGAGTCGAGGTTTGTTTTGTTTTGTTTTGTTTCCCAGTCTTTATTTACTTTGCTTTCTGGTTTTTAAGGATTCTATTGATAAGTTAGCTCACAGAATCTTTCTTCAGCTATGTTGAATCTACTAATAAGCCCATCCAAGGCATTCTTTGTTATAGTGTTTTTTTGTTATAGTGTTTTTGATCTCTGATGTTTTGATTCTTTGCATTTCCATCTCTTTGCTTACATTGCCCATCTGTTCTAATATGCTGTATACTTTATCTCTTAGAGCCCTTAGCATATTAATCAGTTTTAAATTTCTGGTCTGATAATTCTAGCATCCCTGCCATATCTGAGTCTGGTTCTCATGCTTGCTCTGTCTCTTCAAATTGTGTGTTTTGCCTTTTGTATGCCTTGTAATTTTTTCTTCCAATTTTAGTATATGTGCTGCCGAAGCGAGCACTGCCTTGTAATTTTTTCTTAACGGCCAGAGGTGATGTATCAGGTAGAAAGAACTGTTGTAAACAGTTAGTGATGAGGTACGTTGGGATGGGACGTATTCTACGGTCCTAGGATTAGGCCTCAGTCTTTTAGGGTGCCTTTGCCTCTGGAGTGTGAACATCACAAGTTTCTCAGTCCATCCCCATCCCCCCTGCCCCCTAGGAGGGACAGGATGGCTAGAAGCAACCGGAGTTGGAGGCAGTGGTTTGTACTTAGCTTCTTACTTGTTTGGATGAAGTTCTGCTTTCCAAGCCTCTTACATGAGGAACCGGACACCAGGAGTCCAGTTGTTGTTTTTTAAAGATTTGATTTTAAGAATACATTTTAAAAATTTATGACTTCACAAAAAAATTTACTTTATTGAGTCCTAATTTACATATTGTAAAATTGTAAAATTCACCCATTTTAAGTGTATAATTCAGTGGTTTTTGATAAATTTAACAAGTTGTGTAGCCATCATCATAATCTAGTTTTAGAATATTTTTGTCACCCTAATAAAACTCTTCATGTCCATTTACAGTTAATCCCTATTCCCATCTCCAGCCCCAGGCAACTACTAATTTACTTTCTGTCTGTAGTTATCTTCTGTCATTTTAGACATTTCATATAATAAAAGTACATTCATCCAATGAAGAATCTATGGAGTTTAATGTAGCATATGGTATGAATTTATCCTACAAATAAAACTTTAATTTTATTCATTTCAAATTGCAAGATTTCCTGAATTCTAATTATTAAATATTTCTATAAAGCCCTTATTATGCTAAAATTATAATGAGACTAAGTCATCATTGTTACTATGTTTGATAAGTATTATTATTATCATCATTGATAATAACTGCACAGAAGCTTCATTTTTCCAGCATAGGAAAACAAATATTGAATTTCTTGCTATCTTTCAGACTCAGGGTCTAAATCTGAGACCAGGAAGTTACCTCCAAATCTGTGCAACAAATCTGGGCAAAGCATCTATCAGAAACCAATTTCTGCATCACAGAAAGTTCCCACAGGAAAGAGAGGCTGCAAGAAGAGTTCAGTTCTAATAAAACCCAGGAAGGTGCATTCAGGGAAGAAATCTTTAAAATGTAATGACTGTGGGAAAACCTTTGGTCAAAGCTTATCTCTTAAACTTCATCAGAAATCTCATACTGGAGAGAAGCCTTATGAATGCAGTAATTGTAGAAAAGCTTTCAGACAGATCTCATCCCTCATTCTTCATCAGAAAATTCACAATGGAAGGAAAAGCTATAAATGTGATAAATGTGGAGAAAGCTTCATTCAAAGAACATCTCTTATTCTACATGGGAAAGTTCATAATGGAAAGGAAATCTTTGACTGTGGGAGGGCCTTGAGTCAGTGCCCACCTCCCAGTGTGGGCCAGAAAATTAGTTTTGTTGAGAACATCCACCAGTGTGGAAAGTGTGGGAAAGACTTCATTCGAATGTCATCCCTATTACTTCATAAGAAATTTCACAGTGGAAAGAAAATTCATAAATGCAATAAATGTGGGAGAGGCTTCAATAAGAAATCAGCCCTTGTTATACATAAAAGAAATCATACTGGAGAGAAAACCCATGAAAGTGAGAAGGTGTTAGGTCAGAGTCCACAGCAGAAAAGTCACTATTTAGAGAATCCTTATAAATGTAGAGCATGTGGAAAATCCTTTAATAGGATTTCATCCATTATGCTTCATCAGAGAATTCACACGTCAAAGAAGACCTACAAATGTGATAAATGTGAGAAGGTCTTCAGGCGGCTTTCAACCCTTATTCTACATCTAAGAATTCATAATGGAGAGAAACTGTACAGATGCAGTAAATGTGAGAAGGTCTGTAATCGGCATTCATCCCTTATTCAACATCAGAAAGTTCATACAAGGAAAAAGAAAATGTTTGAATGTAAGGAATGTGGAAAGATGTTTTCTGGAACTGCAAACCTTAAAATACATCAGAACATTCATTCTGAAGAGAAACCTTTCAGATGCAATAAATGTAGTAAAGTTTTTGGCCGTCAGTCATTTCTTATTGAACATCAGAGAATTCATACTGGAGAAAAACCCTATCAGTGTGAAGAATGTGGAAAAGCCTTCAGTCACCGAATATCTCTTACTCGACATAAGAGAATTCATACTGAAGATAGACCCTATGAATGTGATCAGTGTGGGAAGGCCTTCAGTCAGAGTGCACACCTTGCCCAACATGAAAGAATTCACACTGGAGAAAAACCATATACATGCAAAACATGTGGGAAGGCCTTTAGTCAACGCACATCCCTTATTCTACATGAAAGAAGTCATACTGGAGAGAAACCCTATGAATGTAATGAATGTGGGAAGGCATTTAGCAGTGGCTCGGATCTTATTCGGCATCAGAGAAGTCATTCTTCAGAGAAACCATATGAATGTAGTAAATGTGGGAAGGCATATAGTCGGAGTTCATCCCTGATTCGACATCAGAATACACATTCTGAAGAAAAAGCCTAAGTTTGTTTTAAATATGTGAAAGCATAGAGTGAGGCTTTCAAAGTAGGAGAGACCAAGGCATAGGAAAATGCATTTGTTTATAACATAAATTTTGTAAAAATGGGACCATTTGATGATGTGTCCCACTTGAAAGCCAAAGAGCAAAAGTCATTGATGACTTTGACCAGATGATTTGTCATCAGCTGAGGCCATGACCTTACCATAGGTCTTAATTTCAAAATAGCAAGCTCGGATGATTGGATCAGTCATTTTTAATGAATACTACTCCTCATGTGATAAGAATTACTGATATTTTATTTCCAGTGTAATTTAAAGCTATTTCATTAGTCATATACAACAAAGTAGAACTGCAAAGTCCATATTTCTGGATGGGGCTTTGAGCCTGATTTAAGGTCACATGAAGAATGAGTTTGAGTTTGTCTCTTAGGACTGGAACTATCACATATAAGAGATTTCCTGGGCAAACCAGGGTGCTACTTCCAGCTGGCAGAAAATTGTGGGTGAGAAAAGAGAAGAGTCTTCAAGTGGATAAAGATAGCACTCATAATTGTGTGAATCAGTTGTCATTACCATATTGTCTCCATATGAAAATATATGATATTCATGGTGTGAAAAATCTAACAAGCCTGAGACAGGCTAATGGGAAAAAAGAAACCAGAGAAATGAGAACTTAAAAGCAGGGAGAAATTATTTGTTACTGTTTTACTGAAAATAAATTTGTCTATATTTATATAAATAAACATTGGTATTTTCATGTAAGAACCCTGGCGTGCAGTAAGTGATTGGTGGAAAAATGAGATGCCATTTCTTGAATATGTCCTCTCAAAATTCGTATTTCGGACCCCTAACCTCTAATGTGATGGTATTTTGAAATGGGACCTTTGGGAGCTATTTAGGGGTAGATGAGGTTATGAGGGTGCGTCATGATAGGATTAGTGTCTGAAAAAAAGAAAGGATGCCAGAGAGCTTGCTTTTTCTACTTTGTGAAGATACTGCAAGAAGATGGCTGTCTATAAGCCAGGAAGCTAGCCTTCACTACCACCCAACCATGTGACACCTTGATCTCGGACTTTTAGCCTCCAAAACTGAAAAGTAAGTTTCTTTTGTTTAAGTCACCTAGTCTGTGGTATTTTGTTATGGCAGCCCAAGCTGGCTAATACAGGGGGAAATACCCTGAATTTATGTACCAGGCTATTTTCCTATCAGCTAATCACCATATCTAATAGCTTTTAGTCTCTGTTTCCAGCTTATGCAAAGTATGTGAGAAATAAAATCAGAGTTCTTTTTTGTTACTGGGCTATATACAGTTGCACTATTGTGCAAAAGCCATTTTTTAAAAACACCCATATCCTGTTAAGATAACTCTGAAATGCATGACCACATGGCTTTAGGTCACTCTGTGACCGCAACTGGGAAAATAACATCCAGATTTGCGAAGGGTAAGCATGCATACAGGATAACAGAACAGCTAATTTTCATTTACGCTTGTCATAGTAGTTCTGTAAAATCATAAAATATTTCTGACACGTGGAGCAAATAGGTGAGCAAATAACACAGAAAAGGCTCATGGAGAGGCATGTCTATTCTCCCTCCCCTTCCATACCCTTCCCTTTGTTTAATTCTTCTGCCAATCTGCCATAGAGATTGTTTCTAAATCATTGGTCACAAACCATATACACACACACACGCACGCACGCACACTAATAAGACACTGTTCTTGCTTACAGACAGAGTTTTGGTTTTGTTTGTTTTTTTTTTAAGATTTTATTTATTTATTTGACAGAGACACAGTGAGAGAGGGAACACGAGCAGGGAGAGTGGGAGAGGGAGAAGTAGGCCTCCTGCCGAGCAGGGAGCCCGATGCGGGGCTCGATTCCAAGACCCTGGGACTATGACCTGAGCTGAAAGCAGATGCTTAATGACTGAGCCACCCAGGCACCCCGGTTTAATTTAGGTTTTCTTTTTAAAGATTTTCTTTATTTTTTGACGGAGAGCACAAGTAGGCAGAGCAGGCAGAGGGAGAGGAAGAAGCAGGCTCTCCTGTTGAGCAGGGAGCCTGACTTGGGGCTCGATCCCAGGACTCTGGGCTCATGACCTGAGCCGAAGGCAGCCGCTTAACCGACTGAGGCACTCAGGCACCCCGCAGACACTTAGAGTTTACAAGGAAATACAGGATGTTAAAATGCGGAAACATCTAAGGTACACAGGTAATAGAAGAGGATGGTGAACTCCAAGGTGAATGGAGGACTTGGGGACAGAGATCACTTGGAGATAGTGACCATATTAAAGGAAGAATAGGACATTAAAGTTGGCTAAGCACACAGAAGTTGGAAGGCTACTGAGGGCAAAGAGAAAGTACAGATACACAGAATAGTGGCAGAGGGTTGTGGAGTATTAAGGGAATTGCAGATTTCAGTATTTAGTACAGTGACTGGCACACAGGAAGTAGTCAGCACTTATTTAATATTGGGTGAATAAATGAATTAATGAAAATGTTTTAGTACATCAGATGTTCTCTGAGGCATAATTGACAGGGAACACTTAAACCTGAAGGTGACCCAGACATTGAGATAAACCCTTGGGAAAACAGGCTCACATTTTAAGGAATCACTAGTAATGTTTGAAGACGGGTGAACTCTGGGTAACCACAGCAACAACCAAACTTAAACCTAGTCCAATTCCTGTCTGTATTAATGACATCCCCCCAACACACACACACACACACAAGGTTTAACAGAAGGAATGACACGGCCGTTTCCAGGAAATCTGTTTACCTCTGTTTTTACTGTCCTACACAAGATTCCTAGCTGGGGTGGGCGGGGGGCAAAATTACAAGGCATACAAAAAAGCAAGAAAAATCTACACTTCCCACCCCTACTAAGTGACAGAAGAATCCAGAACTACTCAGAAGTTACATAGCTGTTGGACAATTTATAGTATGTTAAAGTTCTAATAAAAAAGTTGCACAACAGGCAAATTACATGGGTCATTTGAGCAGAGAGATGAATGATGGAAATGCTAGAAATCAACACAAACGCCTTCAACAAGCTCATCAATAATACACAGTCAAGGAAATAAGTGACGTTGAAAGTAGGTCAGTAAAAATCACCCAAACCAAAACAAATTGGGGGGGGCAGGGCAAGGGGTACAGGGAGGTGACAAAAAAGAACATCTAAGAGCTGTAGGGAAAGGTCTACTGGTCCAACACATGCATAACTGGAATCCCAGAAGGAATAGACAAAAGGGAGCAGAAGAAATATTTGAAGATATAATAATGGCTGAATGACACCAGAACATAGGTATATAAAGCTCAGAGAATACCAAGAAAGATTTTTTAATTACAAAGGAACAATGATAAGAATTACAGCAGACTTAGGGGAAAAAAATTACAGTAGACTTAGAAGTAATGCAAACTAGAGGACAATAATGACATTTGTAAAGTGCTAGAAGGAAAAAGCTGTCTTTATTGAAACTTCATGGAAATACCTTTCAAAATTGATAGAGGAATGAAGACCTTCTCAAAAACAATACATTGCCATAAGACCTCTCTATTTGAAATAAATGAAGTGCTTGAAGCAGAAGGAATGTGAAACCATAACAAATTCTTGGATATACACAAAGGAAAGAAGAGAAGTGGAATAAATGAAGGTAAAATACTTTTTCTTTTCTTCACTTACGTAAATGTCTAAAAGATAATTTTAAAACAGTAACATGCTTTGTGTGTTTACCACATGTAAAAGTAAAATGCATGACAAGTGCAAAGGATGGGAGACAAACTGGGAATATGTTGTGTAGGATCTTGCTGAGTGGCACAAGATGATGATATATTCTGGTTAATTAAAGATACATGTTAACTTTAGGTTAATCACTAAAACTTTTTAAGGAGGTTAAGTTGTTAATAGAATAAAATGGAATAATTTAAAAATATTCAGTTAACCCAATAGAAGGCAGAAAAAGAACAAAAGCTGGAGAATAGAACAATTAGAAAATGGTTAAGAGGATGGATTGATTTTAATCCAAATATATATTTTTTTTAATTACATCAAATATAGATGTCTAGGGGTGCCTGGGTGGCTCAGTTTTTAAGCGTCTACCTTCGGCTCAGGTCATGAGCCCAGAGTCATGGGATTGAGCCCGGCATCAGGCTCCCTGCTCAGCGGGGAGTGTGCTTCTCCCTCTGCCTCTCCCCCTGCTTATGATCTCTCTCAAATAAATAAAATCTTAAAAGAAAATGCAGATGGTCTAAGCATACCAGTTAAGACAAGAGATTGTAAGACTGGAGAAACAGGACCCAAGTATATGCTAGCAGAAACACACTTTATATAGGCATAAATAATTAAAAGTTAACTAGTGGGGAAAAGATAGATCATGCAAACACAAAAAGAAAGTTGGAATCACTATATTAGTATCAGGTAAAGCTGATTTTATAACAACAAATGTAATCAGGGATAAAGAGAAACCTTATATAACAAAGGAATCAATTTCCAGGTAAACAACAATCCTAAGTGTGTGTATATGTATCAAGTTACAGAGGTACAAATTACACAAGTGAAAAAACAGAAAGGGCAAATAGACCAATTCACTATTGGGGATTTCACCATTGTCTTTCAGCTATTAGTAGAAGAAGTAGACACAAAATCAGAATATAGAAGGCCTGAACAACACAACTGACCAAGTTAACTAGTTGACATTTATAAAACACCACAAAGCGGAATACATTCTTTTCGAGTATACATGAAGAAGTACACACGACTATAATACAAATTTTAAGTTTTGAACAGTTACATAAAGTACATTCCCTGTCTGTAGCAGAACTAAACTAGCAATAACAGTAAGATACCTGAAAATGTTTGGGAGACTTAAATTACAAATTCCATTTTTAAAATAACGGTTCAGATTATCTGTTTCTTCTTGAGAAAGCTTGGTAGTTTCTTTCAAGAAATTTTCTCATTTCACCTAAGTTGTCAAATTATTTCCATAAAGTTCACAACATTCTCTTACCCATTTCATAACTAGAATTTGTGGTGACATCACCTTTGCCATTCCGGATATTGATAACTTGTGTATTTTTTTTTTTTCAGCAGTCTGAATGAAGATACATTGGTTTTATTGACCTGCTTTTATTTTTCTGTTTCCTATCTCATTTATTTCTATTAGTAATTATTTCCATTCTTATGCTAACTTTGTGTTTCATTGCTCTTCATTTTCTAATTAAGGTGGAAATTAAAGTCACTAGGAGCTTTCAAAATTTTGTAACTTAGTACTATTACATTTCCTTCTAAGAACTGTTAGTTGCATCCCACACATTTTGACATGCTCTATTCTAAGTTTTATTCAATTTAAAATACTTCCTATTTTCCCTTTGATTTCTCTCTTGACCCATGGGTTACCATTTAGGTCCAAACATTTGGAGATTTTCCAAGTATCTTTCATTTACTGGTTTCTAATTTAATCCCTTCTGGTTAGGAAACATTTTGTATGACTTGAATCCTTTTAAGTTTATTGAGATATGTTTTAAAGCCTGGAATATGGTCTATTTCAGTAACTATTCTGGGTGCATATGAAAATAATTTGTATACTATTCTTGGGTGGAGGGTTTTTAAAATGTCAGGTCAAGTTGGCTGATAGTGCAGTTCAGGTCTTCAATATCCTTTATGATTTTCTGTCTACTTGTTCTTATGACAGATGTGTGTCAGAATCTCTTATTATAATTTTGGATTTGTCCATTTCTCTTTGTAATTCTATCCATTGTTTCCCCAGGTAATTCAGGTGATTTCCTCACATGCATGCACTGATCAGTGTTTAGGTAAAAACTAGTATTTTTTTTTTATTAAAGATTTTTTTTATTTATTTGACAGAGAGAGACACAGCGAGAGAGGGAACACAAGCAGGGGGAGTGGGAGAGGGAGAAGCAGGCTCCCC